GGTGAAGGGATTGTTCAACATATACAAGTCAATGAATGTCATACATCACACAAATAGAAATAGGGGCAAAAACCACATGATCATCTTATGTAGAAAAAGCCTTTGATAGGGCCGGGGATTTAGCTCAGTGGTACCACTGTCTGCCTCACAAGCGCAAGGTCCCAAGTTCAATCCCTGGTACCAAAAAAAAAAAAAAAAGAAAATAAAAAGCCTTTGCAGGATACAACATCCATTTATGATAAAATCCTGAAGAAAACAGTATAAAGAATGTTAAAAAAAAATGTTATCTCAATCTGATGGAAGCTACTTATGACAAAACAAGAGCCCACATCATATTAAATGGGGAAAAACTGAAAGTTTTCTCTCTAAATTCAGGAACAAGACAAGGACGTTTGTCATCACCACTTCTGTTCAAAACATTAGTCCTCAAAACATTAGCCACAGGAATCAGGCAAGAGAAAGAAATAGAAAGGATATGTATAGGAAAGGAAGAAATAAAATTATCATTATTTGCAGATGAGATGATCCTCTTTACATAAGGCCCAAAAATTCCACCAAAAAACTCCTAGTTAACTAAATTCAGCAATGTAGTAGGATAAAAAACAAAACACAAAAATCAGTAGTGTTCCCATATATTATAATGAACCCATTAAAAAAATTAGGAAAAGAATACCATCCACAGTAGCACCAAGAACAATTAAATACTTAGGAATTAACCTAACTAAGGAAGTGAAATACCTCTACAGAAAAATCTACAGTACTCTGAAAAAGGGGATTGAAGAGAACATCAGAAAATCAAAAGATATCCCTTGTTCCTGGGTAGGAAGACCCAATAAAGTAAAAATGACCATACTTCTAAAATTGATAATACAGATTTAATGCAATCCAGCATTCTTCACAGAACTGGAAAAAAATTTTAAATTTCATATGGAACAAGAAGAGACCTAAAATAGCAAAAGTAATTCTGGGTATCAAGAACAAAGCAAGAGGCATCTAATCCCGGACTTCAAGCTACACTACAAAGCAACTCAGATAAAAACAGCATATTACTGGCAAAAAACAAAAGTGGATCAATGGAACAGAATTGAGGATGCTTAGACAACTTCAACACTTAGTCAGCTAAGTGATCCTCGACAAAGAGTCCAAAAACTTATGTTGCAGAAACGACAGCCTGTGTAACAAATGATGCTGTGAAAACTGGCTATTTATGTGCAAAAGATTGACTCTAGCTCCATATCTCTCACCATGTACTAAACTAAAATCAAAATGGACCACATCTAAATATTAAAACAGGGCCGAGGATTTAGCTCAGTGGTTCCAGCACCTGCCTTGAAAGCACAAGGTCCCGAGTTCGATCCCTGGTACCAAAAAATTAAAACAGAAACAATCTGCTGGAAGATAAAATAGGAAAAACTCTTGGTCATATGCACAGGAAAGACTTTTTTAACAAAACCCCAACTGCACAAGAAATAACATCAAAAATCAACAAATGGGATTATATCAAATCAAGAAGCTTCTACACAGAAAAGGAAACAACCACAGAATGAAGAGATAACCTAAAGAATGAGAAAAAAAATTTTCCAGTTATTCCCTGGACAAAGGACTAATATCTAGAATATATAAAGATTTTTAAAAAATTAGACTCCTCAAAATAAAGGCTCAATCAAAAGATGGGGAATGAAATGAACAGACACTTATCAGAAGTACACATGGATGGCTGATGGATAACATGAAAAATGTTTACCATCGCAGGCCATTAGAGAAATGCAAATTAAAACAACACTGAGAACACCCCCCTCACCAAAAACAAAACACTGAGATTCTACCTTACTCCAAAAAGAATGGCTATCATCAAGAAATCAACCAATAACAAATTTTGGAGAAGTTGTGTTAGTAGGAGTGTAACCGAGTACAACCATTATGGAAATCACTGGAGATTCCTTAAAAAACTGAAACTAGAAATTCTCTTTGACCCAGCTATGCCCCCTCTAGGTATCTTTTTGAAAGAGTTAAAGACAGTACATTACAGTGATGCATGCATACCCGTATTTATAGCAGCACAAGTCTTAATAGCTAAATCTTGGAAGCAGAATATATGCTCTCAACAGATGAATAGATAAAAAATATGGTATTTATATATTCTCTCTGCCATAATGAAGTATACCTTGGATGCACCTTGAGACTATAATGTTAAGTGAAACAAATCAGACACACAAGCTTAAATATTGCATGGTTTCTCTTACATGAGAAACTCAAAATATAAATGTAGAGCACAATAAAAGATAAGAGGGGTTAGGGAGACAGATCTTCTGCAAATGGGAAGGGGACAAGAGATGGCGGGAGGGCAGAGAGGGGAGTATTAGGGGATGAAGATAAGAATTAAGATATGTACAAGTACCAACTCCCCATGAGCAATGTAATTACGTACTGCAGACTTTCTTACCTCATGCCATAGCGGGAAAAGCTGAGGCCAAAATTATCTGTACTCATAGTGCCACAGGCAGTTCCACAAGACTCTGAGCTGCTTGTGTATGCACAGGTCTTGGAAACTCTCCATGGCTAAGGTCCTGAGAACATGTCTCAGTCCTTGGAGTTTTGTTTCTCATTTTGGCAACTTCAAGGGGATGATGACTTCATACAGAATGAAAGATCACCAAAATGAACTTGTTACTTTTTTGAGACAAGATCTCCCTATGTAATTCAGGCTGGCCTTGAATTTACTATGTAGCCCAGGATGGCCTCAAACTCAGTGATCCCCCTGCTTCAGCTTCAGGAGTGCTGGGATTATAGGCTTGAGCCACCACACCCTGTTCAACCTGTTACTATTTAATCCCGTTTGTTCAAGGTTAGCTTTAAATTGACCTGAAAAAAAAGCAGAGTGGTAGCAAATCCCATTCTTGGACTACATGGTATTCCATACAATTTGAAAAAAATGACACAACTATTGGAAGCCCTACTGCTACCATTGCAGTATGTATCCATAACATTTACCCTCCTCTGTCAAAGAGGTCCCAGGTAGGGTGAGTGGAGGGTGTTTCTAAATGGTGTATCACTTTGAGCTGGCACATTCAGAGGGAGATGCTACTCTGGGAGACTGCTGGAAATAAATTCCTAGCAAGTGGTTGTAGCTGTAAAGTGCTTTTGTGGGGTACATGAAGAACAAGAAGGAGGGGAGCACTGGTGGTCAGCAAGTACATGTGTGGTGGCCCTGGATCGGCAGGGAGGGCAGACTGAGAAATGAGGCGATGAGCCTGTCAGGGAAGTGGGGAGAGAAGGGAGCAGGAAGGATAAATGTGTCTTTCCTTTCCCTCCAATTCAGTCTCTCACTCTACTACTTGTGTGAGGCATTACCAACATTTGCTTTTCTGCTACATTTTTATTTTGTTTTGTTTTGTTACTGGAGCTCAAACTCAGGACCTAGTGCTTGCAAGGCAGGCACAGTGCCCCTGAGCTAAATCCCTGGCACTTTTCTGCTACTTCTAAGAAAACTGCAGGATTATACTTCCTTACCCCCTTGAAGTTAAGCATGGTCATGTAACTTGCTGTGGCCAATGAAATGGAGTGGAAGTGACATGTGTGACTTCCTGATAGAAGCATTTAAAGGTTGGGCTTGATTTTCCATCCTGCTCTTCTCTGCTTTACCCATGTACTCATTCATGCAGAAGTGGCATAACATCAAAGAGAGAAACTTTACATGAATCAGGGAGACAAACCAAGCTAAACAAGAACAAAACCAAACCAACTGTTGTTACATTAAAGGCACTGAGATTTCTCTTGATCTTGATGTCCTATCCTGTGTTCTCCCCCACCTTCCATCAGTTTCTCCCATTCCCCTTTCTTGCTTTCCTCTCAATATCTATCTCCTTTCCTTCCCTGTCCCTGTATTCTATGATGCCACTGCTATCCTACCTGCAGTTCACAATTATCATGTTTTATATTCTCATTCTCAACCTAAAACATAGATACATTTGTTTTCATTTATAATGGTAATTTTTTTTTTGGTACTGGAGATTGAACTCGGGACCTGGCACTTTTGAGGCAGGTGCCAGAACCACTGAGCTAAATCCCTGGCCCTAAAATGGTAATTTTTTGAATTAAACATTTTTTATTTCTCTCTTGAATTTCAGTTTATCTGAGATAAACTAAAATTCATCTTTAGCTTATATAAAAACACATGCTTTGAAAATTGTATTATGTTACCTAAAAAAATGATATTGGCATTATGGACAGGTCCTCAATTTATTTTCTTATGTGGGCTAATGGCTATCAAGAAAAATAAAAGCATACATCAACCTTCCCTAAACATCATGCAATAACAGCCATGCAGTTCAGAAAACCCTCAGCTCCCCCTGGAGCAGCCCAAGCAGTTAACCACTTTAGGTGCAGTCGATCTTTCAGCTGTCACCAGTAATTCTGTTAAGAAGGCTGTGGAGCCAGAGAGTCCTGAAGCCTATTCGAGATGGTGGGACATGTAAGGTTGTCCAAAGGACCACTCATTTTCATGCTCATTCATTCATGACATAGTATTTAGACCTGAGGTCACTCCCACCACTCTGAAAGTTGTTGTTTTTTTTTTTTTTTGGTACCGGGGATCGAACTGGGGTCCTTCGCTTGTGAGGCAGGCAGTGGAACCACTGAGCTAAATCCCCGGCCCATCTGAAAGTTGTTTTAAGCAATTCAAAGTCACTGCCGACACAAAGCAGCAGAAAATAAAAGAGCAGGGAAATGCAAAGGTAGCCTAGCTAATCATGCGTATTTAAATAAGCACAACAGATGTGAACTTAAAAAAAAATTCAACCAGGTCTGGTTTCAAGTAAAAACATGCTCCACTAGGTAAACAGGATCATGGAGGGAACTCCTGAGGGTTTTACACACAACCAGCTCCTCAGAGATGATGTGGTGCGGGGAAGAGAGGGCAAGGAATGTTAACATTCACATGGGGAACAGAACAGCATGCAAAAGGAGCAAAGGTCTAGTGGAGAATTCTGAAGTCCACTTACTGCCTGCTTTTGTTCTTCCTCCTAGAAGTGTTGAAGATGAAAAAAGGGTGAGGAGAAAAGGAGAGAAATTAATGCCCGTCACCGCAAACATTGGGAAGAAATGTTAGGAGAAACAAGGCAAACAGGCTAGGGCCATGTGTCCTGAACTGAGAAGACCCTATCGACCAGACTAACAAAATGCCAGGCGTCTGACTCAATCAGTTAATTCAATGTACTAATTTCTAGAGTTGAAAGAAAAAAGGAAAGAAAAAAAACAAACCAAAATACAATAAGAACCTTAGAAAGCATCTGGTAGGACTTCCTCATTTACAGATGAAAGAGGTCTTGAGAGGCTGGCTTACCTAAGGTCAGCAACTATTTAAGGTAAACTGAAAGAGGAAGTTCAACCATGGCCTCTTCATCATTCACAGTATCCTTAAGTGTTTGGAGACAAGCACTAGGCCAGTGGTCCTCAAGGTGTGGAGCACAGACCTGCATCAGTATCACTTGGGAGCTCATCAGAGATGCAAATTGCGGGCCCCACCCCAGACTGGCTGACTGGAAGCTCCAGGGGTAGGACACAGCAATGTGTTCCTAGAGTGCTTTCAGCCCTGGTTTGAGAACCATTGCTCTAAATTCCAACTAGCAGTTCCACCTGATCACAGGTTCTTTTCTTCTTTCCTAGTCCCCTCTCTCCACTAAACATGTTGACACTGCATCCCCTCCACTTGCTTACAGGCTGTTTTGTCTTTTGATTTGGAGATGCACATACATACCCTCTTCCCCCAGGAAGTTGGAGGCTGCTTCAGGACCCTGTAAAGCCTTTCAAAAAAGATCTCTTGGGCTGGGGATTTAGCTCAGTGGTTTCGTTGCCTGCTGCACAAGTGCAAGGAACCAAGTTCGATCCCCGGTACCAAAAAAAAAAAAAGAACTCTTAACCTGTTTTTCATTAATTTACCACAAGTTTATTTAGCAGTTCTTGTGCATAACACTGAAACTAAGGTAACTTCTGTCTTTTAGAACTTTATAGTGATGAATATAGTGATAGCAGAGCAGGCACTTGCTAACTACAGCTGAATGACCAGATGAATGCACCATCAGACACTGTAGAAAGAAGAAAAAAAAAAAGGAAATAAACACTTTTGAGTTTTTCTCTCTCCTTCGCCCTTTGCTTCTTAGCTACTCTGTCTTTTAATAAATCTTGTTGCTTCCTCTTTCTGTGCCTCATCATGGGTCACTGGGCATGGAGCCTCTGCTCTTTACTCCAGTATATAAGACATAAAGCGACTGCAGTGGTTCTACTTGAACTACATCTGTGTGAACAGGCAGTCTTCACTGACCACAGGTCTATGGAGTCTTAAGAAGGATACGTGCTCTTGCTCTCTCAGGGTCTGTGGGTCTGGGTGTTAAGGCAGAGTGATTTCAGTAAAGCAAAGGAACTGTAAAAGGGAGAGGGTAAGCAAAATCTTGGAGAAAACAATTTTTATTCCTGCAAGGAAAGACATGGACTAGAAATTAAATGAACACAAAAATCCCACAGGGAGACTCTGGCTGTGCCCAGAAAGCTGCTCTTCACAATGAGTGCCTGACCAAATCCAACCTCCAGGAGCTCAGGCTGAGGGCCCTGAGCACCAGCTCAGCCTGAAGAAGGAGTTAGAAGCTTTCTGCCTTTGCACCTGGCAAGCATGGCTGGGCTCTCATCAGGAAGTGTTCTCCTTTCCCAGCTAGAATTCCCTCTAGGGTAGGACACTGCTTATGTTCAATAGGCAAGGGAAACATCCATAGGAGATGATTAAACAATTTTAAAATGTGCTTTTATTGCTGGCACTAGGTGCTGAAATGGAAACTGAGTTGGTAGGGAAGTGATGGAACAATCTTCACAGGCTGAAATCCTGAGGTCAAAAGACCAGTATGTATACAATTTCTTAGAACTCTTTCTAAAACATCTCCCTGTTTTCACTGTTTCCCCCCAGCTTTGGTACTAGAGATAACATTGCTTTAGTTTACAGAATAGGGAAATTTGAGAAAGCAATGTTTCTGCTTGCATTCAGTGACTCTGTTATATAAGTTTGTCCAAAGACATGAAATCATTATGATCTGCAGTGCACACACTTGTCAGTTAGGATGGAATGGTGGACAGGCCAGCATTCTCAGGACTCAGAGGCCTCCCCTGTCAATGGTGGTGGGAGAAGGTGGGCTTTGACAAAGTGTTACCTAGGACGGTGTTGTATAACTTAGACTCACAAAGTTATTTAGATAAGGCCTTAAAGGCCTAAAGCTCTGTCAACACAGTAAACAGGTCAGATATAAGGTTTTAGAATCTTTCTGTTATCAATTAATCAACCGGGATCAATAAACATTGATGACAAGGGGCAGTGCCAACTTGATTTAAGGGAGTCATAATACCTTCATTATAAAGTGGAAATCTAGACGTGTTTATGTCATCTGAAAACACAATACCTTCCAAATGGAGGCAGTCTGGCCAGGTAACAGCATAGCTACTGTAGTCATCTATATAAAAATTTACATTTTAACTGGTTAAACAATTGCAAATAAGGCTGAAATTCAAAACTGCAGAAATCAGCTGGTAAGTGTATTTCAAAAGCAATATGAGAAAAATGAAGTAGAAAAATGTTGGGAGCATGAGTTAGAAACCAAAATACCAACACATAACCATTTTATATCAAGTAAATGGGAGGCAGAGGTTATCTTTAAACTCATTAATCAGGAGAAAAAGATAAGGAAAAGATATGAACAGATATATGGGTACCTGAGTATCAGTTTACATTTTATCACTAAAAGAAAAAAAACAAATGAGAAGAAAGTCCCTGATAATCCTTGGTTATAGAAATTGAGTTCACTCACTCACCACTGCTCACCAAACACCTAACATGACACTTGGGAACACAACACATTTTTATTATATAAACATACAATTAGTTTTTTTGGCCTTTTTCCAGAAAATGGGAGACTTTGTTGAATGAATTACTACATAATGGTCTCACTTTAATATACTTAAATTATTGGTTTTCAGATACAAAGAGAGAGTGCACAATATTTTCCTGAAGTGGTGGAATGAAAGAACCCCTTGTGAAATGGAAATTTACTATTGATGTATTTTAATTTATGAGCCTCTTAGAGCATGTGGCTTGATTGTCCATCTGACGAACTGCTTACAGCTGTTTTATGAGCAAATTAAATGCTAGCAGACTGAACATCAGTGAAGAAAGGACAGTCCTTTGAAATTAAAATTAGGGTTCTAAAGTGTACTTTCATTATGGTTTGGTGAATTTCTTTTAATAGTAGGAAACCATCTTTGAGATTTTAATAGAAGTCACTGATTTCTATATGAGCTTTTAGGTATGTATGTAATACACAAATTAAGACTGTGCTGTAATTCTTTTAGGAAGCTGGACACCACATGCATCATATTTTCAACTGTGAATTGAATTCAGTAGCTACAAAATACAACATTTCTAGGTTTGTGTTTGGAACTTGCTCCTTCCAGTCTGGATGGCCTCAGCCTATTCAGCTAGATAAATGAAAAGGGACTTAAGAACCTGGCAGGGGTCCTATGAAATGGGGTGGCAGGATCTTGGTTATTTTGCTGAAATTATATGATAAGAGCTAGAAATGTAAAGAAAGTTAGGGTTCAGGGTCAGTGTTCCAGCTACTAACTCATTCTTCTTAGCCCATGAATACAGGTCAGTGTCACATATGCCAAGGTCACAGTGGTTATGCCTGTGGCTCAGAGGCGGTAGCTCTAAGGAAGACCAAGGACAACTGAACAGAAGGGAAAGTACACCATGTTAATTAGGTGAAATTCACTCTTGACTTCCCTTTAGTTTCAGAAACCTTTTATCTACAAGGTAAAACAAAATCACACTGGTATACCTTCCTATCTATGTGTGGTTATGTTTGAGAGCATCTTTCTGAAAGGGAGGTTGAAAAGGGACAGGATGAGGCATCCCTTATTATCCCCTGTCCCACTCCACTCAGAGGACTTTCAGTGCCCCACATGGTCTAGGAATTACACAGGCCAGGATACATCAATATGCACTGCAGTTGTTTTCAGTGGGTGAGTCGCTTAGCTGTGTATCTGACAACTATTAGAGGGATAGAGACCAGGTGTTTTGATAAGGTTTTCTTTCAATCACACTCATTTAGACAAAAAACATTTCTGAGGGGAAATCCTAACAAGGTTAGTGTAGAAAAATGCCCATGCAGAACAACTCAAATACCCAGGACCAAGCTAGGAAAACAAAAACAAAAACTCAGCTCAAAAGCAGAAGAAGCTATTGTCTTGAGGAAGTCAGTTAAAAGCACAAATGCAATATTTGTCCAAGTTGTCAGAACCCTCCAGCTTCATTACCAAGGGATTACTTTAAAAATAGGCTGAAACGAAGTTTCCAAGATGCTACTTTCTTGGGTTCCCATTCCTAGTTACGACTTTTGACACCTTGGGTCTAGATGATTGCATGAGTCTCTTATTATACTTTATTTTTTTTGGTACCGGAGGTCGAATCTTATTATACTTTAGTTTCTCCCCTTTTTAACTTGTAGCAAGTATTCTCCTAAACTTACTTTTTTTTTTTTGGTATCGGGGATCAAACTCAGGTCCTTGTGCTTGTGAGGCAGCCAGCGGAACCACTGAGCTAAATCCCCAGCTCTAAACTTACTTTTTGTTGATGTTATTGAGACAGTCTCATTATGTAGAGACTGACCTTGAATTCACTACGTAGCCCAGGCTGGCCTCGAACTCATGATGATCTGCCTGCCTCTGCCTCCCAAGTGCTGGGATTACAGGTGTGCACCACTACACCCAGCTTCTAAACTTGTATTTTAAAACCTTCAATGACTCCCCTTCATCATAGCACTTAGTTCACTCCCTTTGGCCAAGCTTTTGAGGCCCTCCACATGTGATTTTTGCTCTGGCTGCTAAGTCAGTATCTTGCTACAAAATGCAGTGCATTCACAGCACTGACAGGCAGGTCCTTGGAAATCCACAGCATGATGCCAGGTGTCCTGCACCCTATAAGTAGGAAACTATTTCTATTTAGTGCCAATAAATTGTCTAGGTGAGGTCGTTTTAATGCCAACCATGCCTTTCTCTACTCTAGGATAAGGGACTCTAATATGCCCTTTAACAAACAAAAAAACCTGAATTATCTTGGATTTATTTATTTTTTTGGTACTGGGGATCTAACTCAGGATCTTGTACTTATGAGGCAGGTGGAGTGCCACTGAGCTAAATCCCCGGCTCTTATCTTGGATTTATTCAGGTCCCAATATTCTAAACCTACAGCTAATAAGTTATTTTATTCCCAGTAAGGTTATTATTTAGAATTGGTTTGTGTGATGGTTATTTTATGTGTCAACCTGAATGGGTTGAGATATTCAGGTCAATAGTTATTTCTCGGTGTCGGTGAAGGTGTTTCCAGAAGAGACTGGCAATTGAATCAATAATCAAGAGGGCCAGGGATTTAGCTCAGTGGCACTGTGCCTGCCTCGCAAGCACAAAGTCCTGAGTTCGATTTCTGGTAACCCCCCCCAACCCCCCCCCCCAAACCCAGGTCAATCAGTAACCAAAAGAAGATCCACTTAGGTTAATGTAGGCAGGCACCACCAATCCATTGAGGAACTGAACAGAACAAAAAGGCACAGGAAAGGTAAATGTTCTCCCTTTTGGAGCTGGACATTTGCCTCCGCCTGCCTAGATGTTGAAGTTCCAGGCTTATTCTACTGACTCCCTTTACCCACTCTCTGGACCGCAGGCCATACCATCAGCTCTCTGGTCGGCAGGCCTTCAGTCCATACTGGATTACAGCCCTGGCTTTCCTGGGTCTCCAGCTAGCAGAGAGTACATCATGGGAGTTCTCTGCTTCTGTAACTGAACAAGCCCACTCTCATAATCATTTCTCTTTTCTATATCTACATATATCCTGTTGGTTCTGTATCTCTGTAAACATTCTAGTTCAGCTTGCCTCTGGTACACCTATTAAAATAGGGCACTTGATGTTTGTGAAGTATTTGGAGGGAATATCTGAAAACTTAAACCTTGAGTAGTTGAGAAATACTATTCATTTATACCTAGCTAATACCCTGTACATAAGTATCCTTATTTATAAAAGCAACTACTCAAGAACATTACCTTATTTCCATTTACTAATTTTTCTATAATCAGGCTTTATACTAATTTCAGTAACTTTTATACCTAATTAGGCCACATTTATAGAGGTTTAGAGGTTTACCTGAAAACTGGTTCAAGGCCTGACAGCCAAAGATTTAGACCCAGGCAGCGGCAGAGGCTGTGGTGGGAGGAGGCCAGAAAGGCCCTGGCTATTACCTTCAGTAGCTTCATCAGCCCCTCCAGCTGGACCATCAGTTCCCGCCTGCTCTCCTGCAAAGCAGACATCCTCTGCTCCAGCTCATCTTTCCTCTGCCTGCACAAGATGAAGAACTCATTAGAAAAGAAATTTTGGTGTGTTATGCCAGATGGGTATTGGCAGTTGCTGGATTCATATCACAAAAATACCTCGGTTCACAAAAGCTTCTGTTTGCAAACAATTGGGTTTGGAAAGTATTTGGCAAAATTTTGCTTCCATTTGCAAACTCTACATCAGGTGACAAACAGGACCATGTCCACAGCCATCTTCCCCACAGAAACACAAATGCAGCCATCTTCATCAAAATCGTAAAACAAATTAAGTTTGTAAACTGAAGTGCCATTGTATATGATTCATAAGGTTATTGAATACCTACAAATAATCTTGCTGTTTATGTATCTTTTCTTTCTTTTTTTTTTTTTGGTACTGGGGATCAAACTCGGGTCCTTCTGCTTGGGAGGCAGGCAGCAGAACCACTGAGCTAAATCCCTGGCCCTATGTATCTTTTGATAAACAGAAGTTAGCATGTTTTAAAATTTATTTTTATTAGTATATGTTTGCAGCACATAATCCTTAGATTCTGTGTGTGGGAGTTAGTAGATGTATATAATACATCTCAATTCCTTTTTTTAACCAGTTTTCCCTGCTCCCTCCCAAAACTTAGTATTAACGTGGAAGATTTACCAACTGCACAGTCAAAATTCTGAGAAATTATTTTCTATTCCAAAATCATAAAGGAATTGTGAGTTTTCTTGTAGAAGTTTTAAACTTTTGTCTTCATGTTTCAATGGTTTGGTGTTGGTTTTTGTGTGAGGTAGAAGGCCAGCATATTTGCCTATATGCACAGACAACTACTCCAGCATATTTATTAAACGTCTCTCTCCCCTTTCCTCATGATATAGAAGCTCCTTTTGAAATTAACTGCTTTCTGAATTCTCAAGCTTTAGATACCCCTTTAGGCTTGGATTATATTTCTATTTCTTGTTGTCTTACATGACATCCCTGGACTCAGCCCTGTACCCACTAAATCTATGAGATTTTTCAGATCCTTCCAACTTAACCGAGCACCTCAGGCAACTTCAGTTCCAGCAACAGTTAAAGAGTCCCGTATGACAGTTTTTGGTTTTTTAGATATGAAAACAGTCATGAGTGCCTGAGCTGAGCTAGGGAAAGAAATTGTGTATCTTATGTTGACAGCTCAGTTACCCTCTGCCTGAATCACATGTTTTCTCCATCCTTCCTAGTATAACACCAAATACACTAACATCCCAAATGTGAGACAATAAACCACAGAGCAGCCAAAATTTCAACTCAACTAAATTTAGAAACTAAAATGAATTTTTAGGAGAATGGGAAGCTCCATATCTCTACTGATCTTCACCTGCATAGTTTAAATTCTTTGACTCACTTACTGATGAATCTAAACATTAGGATACCTATGGAAAAAGCAATGATCTTCATTTTCTTTTTTTGGGTACTGGGGATCAAACTCAGGACCTTGTGCTTGCGAAGCATGCATGGTGCCACTGAGCTAAATCCCCAGCCCAAAAATCTCCATTTTCTAGGACAGGAGGGGTGAATCTATAGCATGAAATACTTCAGCCAGCTGTTTGTTATCATTGAAAGCTCTAAATGGTTTGCCATCACTGATCTAGGAAAAGAAATCCTGAGTGGGGCAAAATGACTGAGTGGGGCAGATGACCTAAGCCAAAGTAAGAGAGAAAGAGGGAAAAAAAAAAAGAGTAGTCAGCTATGCAGAATCCCAGATGATAGCTCATTACAGATCAACTGTGGGATGTCAAACTGTCAAATACTACAACCCCAAGAACCACCATTTGGGAATCCAGAGTTCTAGTTTCCACAATGTCTTTACTTACAGAAGAGTATAGACACAACATTCAAAGGTGGACAAGGCCGTAAAAACATCAGATTATTCATGTCATGCTCTTCCGGGAAGATGTCCCCATTCCCTTCCAAACACCATCAAATTGGGAGCTGACATTGCTCTCCACTCCCACAATGACTCTCTGTCCTTAGTCTTCTTCGTTAGTTTGAGACAGGGTCTTGCTATGTAGTTCAGGCTGGCCTTGAAACTATGTAGGTTGGTGATTCTTCTTTCTTGCCTCAGCCTCCTGAGTGCTGGGGTTACAATGTGTGCCATTATACCTAGCTGTTCTAGTTTCTTGATCCCCGAGACATTATATTTGTGTGGAAGTGGGAAAGTAGAACAATCATGGTGTGATTCCACCTTGGGTTCATGTCTCACAGGTAGTGCATAGTACACATGCTTCTTGGTGGATCCTGCTCTGACAGTGAAGTGCCAGGAGAACAAACTCATAGGAAATGGAAAGTATTATTCCTGACAAGAGTCTCTGGAGTCAGATTACATACTTACAACAAAACAGGAATGGCAGCACAATGTCATCTTAAACCAATGACAGAAGGTCAAACACTGGCCCACTTGCCCTCTTGCCCTGGGATCTGAGGAAGACTTGTATTTATTTATCTCTGTACAAAGGCTTAAATTCTCAAGGTGACTAATGATGGAACTCAGCAGTATGTTCTAACAGGACTGGTTATAGACAAGCAGATTCTATCTGACTAGTTTGGCTTCCTGAGCTATAAATTCCCACTGTAAATTATAGAAGTGTGGTATCACTGCTTACCTCAGTAACCGTAGCTCTGCCAGCAATGTGGGGTTCTGCTGGGCCTTCTCAGGAGTGGGCTGGGAGGCCTGCTCATGCTCCAGGCGGAGGCGCTGGATTTCCTGCAGGATCTCTCTATTGGTCACAAAAGAAAGATGGCTGCTTACACTTCCCAGCTCCTTCTCTCCTATTACAGAATTTTACCCTCAAAGTGGCTCCTGTACCAATCTCACGGACTGCTTCCAAAGGACCAAGATGTGGAAGGGACACTTTCTAAACAGCACCTCACCTGACATTTCCTCAATAAATAATCCTTTCTTGTAGAAAAACTTGAAAACACTCTTCTCAAGAACTTGAAAAATCTCCAGGAAAGGAAAACGACAACCTGAATGCTTTATTTACTCTGTTCCTCTCTGGAGGAAAGGAAAAGAGAACTTGTAGCCTCTAATGCAGGTCCAAAGCCAACTTTGTGAGGCTTTCCCTGTGTTCCTCCCTTCCCTGATCCCGGACAACTGACCAAAGGCCAGGTGCCATTTCCCCTCCTACATGTTATACAAGGTCTCCATGCCTTTAAATGGTTTTCTAAACGAGAGGCTAGTCACTTATAGTATAGTGGGCAAGGACAAGATTACTACACAGAACAAAACACTGTTAGAAGTAGTGGAAAAAGGAATCCCAAGTGGCCAGGGATTTAGCTTAGTGGCACCGTGCTTTCCTTGCAAGTGCAAGGTCCTGAGTTCAATCCCTGGGACCAAAAAAAAAAAAAAGGAATCCTAAAATGGAACACACTGGTGGGAGTGGGGTCTGGGAAAAAGAATCTACCCGGGGCAGAAGAGCAGCACTCTGGGTGATGAGAATTAACAGTATGCACCACTTAAGAGTCCAGGGCATTTCTTGGACTTGCAGGCTCTTCCTGTGTGGTGAAAAGTCATCTACCTTTGAGAAAAACAAGAAACAGATACTCAAGAAAATTCTGGACTTGAAAAATGGGCTCAACTTCTGCCTTACCTGTTCTTGTTTTCCAGTTCTGCAATGAGCTGTCTCTGCTGTTTGTTGGCATCAAAGTTAAAGCTCACGTCAGTGGGAGGACGAGTCTAAAGTGGGGAGAGAGTTGTTTTCTGATTTAAACATATCCAAAGTCTGAGACTGGTGAGCTTTGAGATGTAATTTACATACTATAAAATCCATCCATTTTAGTGTACAACTCAATGAGTCTTAGTAAATTTAAACAGTTGTGCAGCCACCCACCACTGTCCAGTTTTAGAATATTTTCCATCACCACAAAATATTCCCCCATACTCGCTTACTGTCAACTGCCACTCCCACTCAGCAACTGCTGACAAGGTTTCAGTTAGTTTGCCTTCTCTAGAAACTTCATAGAAATGGAATCATACAACATGGAGGTTTTGTATTTGACTTCCACTTACCATGGGGTGTTTTGAGGCTCATCCATGAAAGGAGTAGATTCTTTTTATTCTTTTTGTTGCTGATTAGTATTTCAGTGTTTCCAGCTTTGGGCCATTACAAATGAAGTTGTTATGAACTTTTATCTCTCATCTTTGTGTCAATGTTTTCATTTCTCTTGGATAAATATATTGGCATGGGATTGCTGAGTTATATGGTAATGATGAATTTAAAAACATCTGAGGAATTGGCAAACTTCCAGTGTTTGTACCATCTTACAGTGCCACCAACAATGAATGAAAGTTCCAATTCTGCACCCTCACCAACACTTGTTATTATAGTCTGGTTTTAACCATCCCAGTGGGCCGGATATTCCTAATGGTGAGTTTTAAAAGACTGTATAATTTACATACCATAAAATCTACTCTTTTGAAGTATGGAATATGTGGGTTTTAGTGTAATTATGAAGCTGTAAAATCATCAGCAATTCCAGAATATCTTCATTATCCCCAAAAGAAACCCCACATTCATTAGTAGTCATTCTCCAACTCTCTATCCCCTGACATCCACCATCTATGGATTTACCTATGCTGTGTATTTCATATAAATGCAATCACACAAAATGTGGTCTTTTATGTTTGGCTTCTTTCACTTTGGAAAAGATTTTCATCTATGCTGTACCATGTATCAATATTTCATTCCTTTTTATTGCTGAATAATATTCCATAATATAGATATGCCACATTATATTTATTCAATAGCTGATAGACATTAGGGGATTTCCATCTATTTTGGATAACGCTGCTATGAACATTTGTATAGAGATAAGTTTGTTTTGAGGCAGGGTCTTGCTATGTATTCCAGACTGACCTCAAACTTTTGGCGATCCTCCTGCCTTAGCTTCCCCAGAGCTGAGATTATAGGCATGCACCACCATGCCTGGCTAGAGATAGATTTTTATTTCTCCTGAGTTTGGAGTGGAGTTGCCGGATCATATGGCAACTGCCTCTTGAGAAACTGCCTGCTTTCCAAAGTGGCTGCACTATTTTACCTTCCCATCAGCAATATATGAAGGACTGACTTTTCCTATACTCTTTTTTTTTCTTCTCCCCATTAAGTTTATTGGTACATTTTAGGTATAAAATACAGTTACAATCATCATTGGGATCTTGTGCCATTACATGAGTATCTTGGTTATTTTTTCCCCTTCTCCTGCCCTCCCTTCACCCCCTCTACTCTTCCCTTCCCATATTCTTGCTAACACTTGTACTGTTCATCTTTGATTATAGCACAGTGATGGTGGCCCTTTCAGAACTTTCAATAAGAAACAGTTGTCTGCAGCACGTGTGCCATGGGTTCGCCACCACTGTCCTAGTGGGTGTGAAGTGGTATCTTCTGGATTCATTTTATATTTCCTTAATATAAATATTCTTTTTTTTTGTACCAGGGATCAAACTCGGGACCTTGCACTTTTGAGGCAGGCGCCAGAACCACTGAGCCAAATCCCTGACCCATAAATATGCTGCTTATTGGCCACTTGTGTATCTTCCTGGGAGAAAGCATGTGGATGTGATTTGCACATCCACTGATGTTTCTGATCCTTGTTTAAGAATACTGTAGCTAGGCAGCCTAGGCAACTTAGTGCAACCTTGTCTCAAAATATCAAAAAAGAGCTGAGGATATAGCTTACTGCGAAGCACTTGGGTTCAATCCCTGTACCACTAAGGGAAACAGAGAGAAAATATGATGGGAAAAGGGATGACAACATGGTTTCCCTTTTATTGAGCAACCAGAACGGAAACATCTACGAGGCTCGGTGATGACTGTGCTTCACTCTGCACATTCTTGGTTCTGCCTGAAACAACCTACTGAAACAGAAACCTTATTTACTGCCTAGAGCCTGAAGACTCAATAAATAACTCTTTTCATATGGTGTTTTCTAAATAAACAAGGTAAAACAGCATAGCAAATCTAGGTGGGAGGATTTCTACCAGATTACCAAATATTTTTCTTTTTTCAAAGAAAAAACAAGTTGATTTTCTTTCTCCAAAGAAGCTGGGGCCAGCAGCCAGTGGAGCAAATTTTCTGTATTGTATTCAGAAACTTATGAGAGCCTGAGCTGAGCCTCAGAAAAAGGGCTTGAGACTGACTATGGCTATGAATAATAGGTTTGTAATTTCTAAAAACTGGAGTAAAAAGTCTGTCTACAGACTGGGAATATGGAGATTGTGGAAGAGGAATGATCTCTGAAAGGAACTGTCTCATGTGACAAACAAAAGCTCTAGTACTTCACTGGAAATGTAAGGAATCTTTCCAGTTTTGAGTGTTGGCAAAGCCAAGGCATCTTCCATAGCAGAGGTTAGTGCAGGATCAAGAGTCATTGTCAACAGAGAGTCCCAAGGAGGTAAGATTCTTTATATTTGAGTAACAGTGCTTCCAGGAGCCAAAGAAGCAGGCAGCGGTGAGGAAATGGACAGACCAACAGGGAGAACTCTCACACCTGGTGTCTACCGAAGCCTTATTTCACTCAAACAAATTTCTTTTTCTTTTTTCTTTTTGTGCCGGGGATCGAACTCGGGTCCTTGCACTTGTGAAGCAGGTGGCAGAACCACTGAGCTAAATCCCCAGCCTCACTCAAACAAATTTTAAGTACAGCCAGGTTACTATGATGTATCTCTGAATGCTTCACGTATTGAGATTTAATTCCCACTGTGAAATATTAAAGCGGGTTGTAACTATGGTGTCCAGAGGTGGGACCTTGAGGAGGTGATTAATATTGGCTTCTGGTTACGAGGGTTGAGCCTGGTTACTTAATTCTAGGGTAGAGATCATGTGTCCTTGTCTCTTGTTGTGTGATGCCTGCACTGCTTCAGGACACTCTCAGCAAAGTCATCACCAGATGTAGCCCTTAGACTGTGGACCTCCAAACCTGTGAGCCAATAAACCTCTTCCGTATGAAGTTAGCTTGCCTTACGTATTTCATTATAGTAATGAAAAATGGACTAATACACAAGTGTACGAAAAAAAGAGAAACGCAGAATTTTATTTACTCACCACCTTAAACATCATGGGCTAGGCCTCCCTTCCTAAAATGCTAGGACACTGAAGGGAGTAACACAGAAATGGAATTTTAAGATATTGTACTTTGCCCTGAAGAGATGTGAGATGATTTCTTTCAATTTTTGGTTTTGGCTTCAGCAATCCACAGTGCTTAGCCACAGATGATCTTGCTTTTGACCTTCCCTTTTCCTTTACATTTTAAAAATTTTATTGGTACATTTTAGGTACACACTGATCACATTCATCATAGGGAATTTGTACTTGTACATGATATAACTTGCTGCTTCTTTTTCTCTCCATTTCCCCTCCCCTCCCTTCAATCCCTCTTCTCTTCCTTATTTACAAAAGCTTGGTTTCCATTTTTTCCTTCTATTCTTTTTTTTCTTGTCCTTTCTTTCCTTTCCTTCTCCCCCCCACCAATTTCTTTCAAAAATCTAAGAGTTGGTTGTCTTAGTTACTTTTCTCATTGCTGAGACAAAATACCTGACACCCAAAGTTATAGGCGAAAAGGTTTATTTGGCTCACAGTTTGTAGAGGTTTCGGTCCACAGTCGGCTGGCTCCAAGGCAGCGTGGCACGGCAGAGGAAAAACAGTCCATGGCAAGCAGGCAGACGAGAGCACATTAGCCCTCTTTCTGTTTCCTACATTTTATATAGGCTACCCACGCTAGGGTGAGTGAAGCATGAACACCCTTAGTTCTAGCCAGAACTATGCCAAGCCAATCAGTGGACTGATTTAGTAATCACACACCCTTGATCCCAGGACCACACACTCTTGGTCCAGTCCCCTCTGAAAAGCCCCCCAAACCCCTGAAGATTGCATGAGGTTTGGGGGGGGGGATCTAGACACAAACCATAACATTTATACATCCACTTATTCATTTACTGGGCTCCTACTGTATGACAGGCACTGTTCCAGCCCTGGGGATGCTCTGGTGAGTGAGGCAGTCTTCACCTACTGGAGCTTACAGGACATTGGGAGAGATCAGAAACCAAGAAGTAAGCATTCATTCATGTCAGCAGTGATGCATGTGATGAATAAATACACAGTAATGAAACAGAGTGGACTGGGACAGAAGACTCTTTTCAATGAGGAGTTTCTGACAGGTCTCTCAGAGATCACTGAAAAGAGGAAGCAAACCAAAAGCTGAGGGAAGAGCATGCAGGGTGGAAAGAAGGGCAAGTGCAAAGGCCTGCCGCTGGCCCCGCTGCAGGGCAGCAGTAATGCAGTAGGTGATGGAGATGGAAGGGACAGGCTGGGGGGAGCCTATATCATGCAGGGCTTCTGAGTTATGGGGCTGCAGGGGGTTCCTGTTTCATTCTGAATGTGGTGTGAAGCCACTGCAGGATTTTGGGCACAAAAATATGAAATCTGATTATATATATTTAAAAAATTCTTCTAGGCTAAGAATGTTGCTCAATGGCAGAGTGCTTGTCTAACAAGCCTCAGGCCCTGGGGTCAATCTTCAGCACCACAAAAACAACAACAAAAAACCTCTCAAGTTACATTATAAAAACACTGCTCTACATAAATGCCTAATTTAATAAATGAGGAAGAATAAATTTCCCATGTAGAAGAATTTCCAAGTAATGTATGTATGTATGTATTCTACCTTTAACAAGATGGAGCC